TGAACACAGCAATATTAGTCTATGTCTTACACACAAAAATGTTATTTTTCCAAAGTTGAAAAAATCCCCTGACCTTTAATAAGTTCAATAAGTAGACCATGTACAATGTTTCCCTAATAACTTCTGCTCTTCAAAAGATACCACTAAAAGAGGAAAAGATTAAAAAATAGACTGGTAAAAATATTCATGATACATAGATCTAACAATGAGCTTGTATATAGAATATACACAGAACTCCTATAATTGTAAAATAAGATGACACTAAGTATATGCAGTTTACTGTAGGTCAATTATACTCAAAAGCTATATAAAACAATCAGACAAAAATCAATGAAAAAGAACGAAGTGTTAATGGACACAGCACAAAGGAAGACAGACAAATGGCCAAAAAGCACAGGAAAACTTATCACTTCCCTTTCAGGGAAATATAAAATTAAACCACAGGGAGATACCACTACACATCTACCAGAACGGCTACAATGAAAAAGATGGATAATTTCAAGCGTTCATGAGGATTACAGTACGTGGAACACTCATACGTCACTGGCGAGGATGTAAAATGGTACAAACACTTTGGAAAAACAGATGGCAGTTTCTCATAAACATACACTTATCATAAGACCGAGCAATAAAAAGGAAAACAGATCTCCGCACAAAGACTTGTTCACAAATGTTCATAGCAGCCTTATTCAGAACAGCCCAAACTGGAAACAGCCAGAGTGGCCAAGGGTGACCAGATCAACAAGTTGTAGCACATCCAGACACTGAAATACTACAGGGCAACAGAGAGGAACACACTGATAAGATGATGGAGGAAGGGGGAGGGAGGAGGGAAAAGAAGCAGATGGAGGCGGAGAGAGGGGAATAAAAGTAAAGGAGAAATTACATCTAGACCTAGTGAAACTGCAGCACTCCAAAGGATCTTAAAAGCAGCCAGAGAGAAAAGACAGACAATTTACAAATAACAGTTAGCCTGACAGTGGACACTGCAACCACAACAATGGAACCAAAAGAGAGTTGATGAATACAGGATCAACGATCCAGAATTGCGCACCCAGGTAGTTTATCATTCCGGAACAAATTTAAAGGCACACAAAAACTGAGGTTACCCCCAAGAGATGCTCACTAATGGAACTTCTAAAAAATATATCTCTAAGAAGGAAAGGGAAAGTTATCCCAGAAGCCAATTTTTTCAGGTAGGTTTTACTTTCTTCTTCATGCATTTATTGTTTGATTTTTTTTAAATGAGCCTGTATATTTTTACAATACCCAAATTTAAAGGTTAGCTTAAATTAGAACAAAACAGAAATGAAATCAAATACCAAATTTTCCAATTCCCAGAACAACAACTTGTCAGGGCTGATATCAAATTTCCCTTAAAAACCTTAAAGAGTAACTTGAAAGGACATGAAAATTAGGTTTACTTATTCACTCAACAAACATTTAGAAAGGGTTTGCTATGTGCCAGGCACTAGACTAGATCCTGAATTAATATTATGAGAACAAAAAATGAAAGTCATATAATACTGGATTTATGAGTCTTCTAAGATACCTTTATGAAAAGGCCAAAGTCTACACATACAGTGGAGTTACTCTTTGGTGAGGAATATTACATAATAGAGAGTTAAAGGTAATCCAGTTTGGCCTGAGGCCCTTCTGTTTGAAAATGTATGCACAAATATGACCATTTTACACATGAAGTTAATTCAGTGTAAATGATGAATTCCCATATTAAACTGCCCATCTTGCCGTCTGATTTCCATCTCACATTAAATAAGAAAACTGCCTGAGTTCATAGGCAGCACTGAGCATGGGAAGGCACATTGTACCTGATAGTCCCTGGTTTATTTCACAAGTATCAAAGGCTGAGAGCACCCACATTTAATACGTACCAACTGTCCACTTCTGCTCAAAGTATCCACTTGGCAAAACATTTTTAACTGACTTAAACCAGGAGGAGGGCAGCCTATAAAAAGCCAGTTTCTCCACCTCAATATAAACAGTTTCTGGGGGCTTCTTGATTAAAAACAAAGGCAGCATTTGGCATAAAAGGACTGGTGAAATCAGTATTTCAAATAATTTTGAATGGAAACCGTTGGGCTCTGCTCTTCCCAGACATGTGGAAGTGCTTAAGGCAGTAACCTGGCGGAAACAGAGGGTGAGGGGCCTATGATGAAGTGAGGCCACAGCAGAAACTCTAACCACTAAAAAGCAAGGAAAAATTTTTTTTAAAAGTTGATCCACCGCTTCCCATTCAATAGTCAGGCTTGGAGAGCCCTCCTTTCAATCAAAAGTACCAAATAATACGAGAGGTGCAGCCCCAGGAACCTTTAAGAGCCCACCCTCTCCCCTCCCAGGCAACGGTAAGCAACACTTGGAATACCTGTGCACCCAAAGTAGAAAGGACTTGAGCGACTGTATTTGGGGATTATAAGAGCCCTTCTCTTGTCTGTAGCATCTTCAGTTCAAGGGGAAAGTGCATTTCACTAGGCAGGTCTCTGAAATAAGCAAGGCCAGTTACTAAAGCTTTTGCTGTCAAAGCTCTAGCCAAGTACCTACAAATCCATACAACTTTCCTCATCCTCTAGGAAAGCCATAATGCCGTCTTTCCTAAACTGTTCAGTATGCAAAAACTGGGCTCCTGTGTCTTCTCCAGCATTCTCTAACCTCCTCAAGGATGGAAAAAGGTTTTCTTTTCTGATGTCTATCACAGGCACCCTCCTTATAAATACATATCATTTTCCAAATGAATTAAACTCTTCTATGAATATTAGAGCTCAATGAATATTAGAGGATGAATCCCACTTTAAAAAAAAAACTAACCCTTTCAATACTATATTCAATTCTTATCTTCTTAAAACCATTTCCTTGGACAGTTTCTTAAATAAAAAGCAAAACAAAAATATTCACCCAGGTTCCTCATGGTCTTAAGATAATTATGGCATAACTGCAACATACCAGAAGAAAATTATCTAGGATAGATTTTTAAATCTCCTTTTGGTAAATCTGGCCCGCAGAGCACCATTAGTATTCTATTAAGACCTAAGGAATTCAATCCCTGTATAAAATTCCAGAAGAAGACTAACTATGTGAAAAGGGACATTATAAACCTACCTTCAGGATTCCCACAGGGGAAGAACACCTTAAATGAAAAACCACACCCCAACTCACAGGGGGCATGCTACCGAATCTGTGACCCTATGGAGCACAGCTACATCATCACCAAGTATTTCAAGTTTCTCGTCCACAAAGAAGAAAGAAGAGATTCTGGGAAGCCCTGGGCTAGCAGCTCACTATTTCCACCAACACCTCGCCCAGTAAGCCAGCCACTGGCCAATAATGTGTCTCTTCATTTTTCCCAGAAGCAGCTCTATTAGCCAGACATTCTAAAAACACAAACGTTTCATTGTGCTTGGAATAACTCCAATATTGGTGCCTTGCTGCAGAACGATGCTGCAGGAATATAAAGTGAGCCATGTGGACGCTGAACCCACACGAAGAGCATCAGAAACTGTCAAACCCAGAAGACCAACCAACCCCCAGGAAAGGCTGAAGGTAAACCCGGGCCGGAAGACTGTGGAATGTGGGAAGAAGCCAAACGCAGGAGACTTCAGAAGGGCCTGCCTGATGGCAACAATGAGGACAATTTTTAAGGCAAATGTCCCAAAGCTCCCAGGGCCAAAAAGGCCTTTTTTCCTCCTTTCTGTCCTGTTTAGACTGAATAAGAAAAGCAAGACAATGCTGGAAGATGTTCTGGAATGGGCTTGGCCAAGTCACCACAAGCAAAGCGCAGTGAACCTAACCCACTGCTAGGCTGGGGTTTGGCTCTGCTGAAGACCCTGCCTGCTGGGTGGGGGAGATGGGGGTCCCCAAAAACCATGGCTAAGGGGGAACCGTGAAACAGGGGAGGGCGGGGCTGAGCAAGTCAAACCTGGGAAACTAACAAGAAAGACGTCAACAACAATAATAAAATGAAACAGCCAGAGGCCACCATGGTACTCCAGAAGAATCGGAGACAGGCTGAGCCGGCTAAACTATTCCAGATGAAAGGCAATCTCTCCACATCTCAAGGGGCTGATCTGATACCAGGGTCCTCGTTTCTTTGTGCGCCTCACCTCCCTCGTTTCTGGGGGATCCTGCACAGACTCCAGCTGGGCTCCAACTGCCATAAACGACATCCAGACTGATTACGGGGAACTCATTTTTTTCCCCTCAAACAAAACACACACACACACACACACACACACACAAACACACACTCTCTCTCTCTCTCAAAGGTCTAGCAGGATCACACAGCTAAAGTTTCCGGAACTTAAATCGTAAAACCACAATCAGAAGTTGTTGTTTGGAAATGCTCACCACAAAAATCTCTGTCCTTTGCTTAAAAAAAAAAAAAAAAAGGAAGAAAAAAAAAACTTTGCTCTTCATAAAGGTTGGCGGCAAAGAGAGACAAAATCTAACTTAGGCAGAGGGCGTGTTCCTCTTTGTCACCCACCGGGGTCCTCGCGCCAGCGTGGGCGAGCGGAGGGGTACCCGGCAGCGCGGTGGCAGCGGCGCCAAAGGCCACCTCCCCGGTCCGCGGTCGGTCGCAGGGGCCGAGATTGCAGCCGGAGGTCCGGAAGCCGCGTCCGGCGCTGTCAGCGCGCCGGGTGGGATGGGAGGAAGAGGGGGAAGGGCGCCGCGGGGCGGGGGAGGCGAGAGGGGACGCGCGCGGAGCCCGCAGCCCGAGTCCCCGGAGGTAAGAGGAGGGTGCAAGGGGCGGCGCGCAGCCCGGAGGCCCCCGAGCTCCGGCTATTGTTGCCGGGCTGCCCCGGGCCCGGAGGGCGACTCTCCCGCCTCAGTAGGGGAAGCCCGATCCCACCCGCCGCGCCCTCCTCCGGGCAGGACCCGCGGGCCACGCAGCTACCTCCACCCGCTCCCCGGTCGGTCGGCTCCGGGCGCCCGACTCGCACAAGTTGCCGCCAGTCCGCCGGGATCATTGTTCGCCGCGCGCCTCCTACCTCCACGGCGCAGGCGGCTCCGGCTCCCACTCCCGGCCTCCGGGCTCCGCAGCTCCGAGCTCCCGGCGGCCGAGGGCGCGGCGGCTCCGGCTGCGCGTGCGGCGGGGACGCTCGGCTATTAATACCCGCGGGCGGCGGGGGCGGCGGCGGCGGCGCGGACACGCGAGCGGGGCTGGCGGTGGCCGGCCGAGGTCCGAGCCATCAAAGGTGTCGCGGGGCGGAGGGGAGGGCGGAGCAGGCGGGGTGGGTGGGGAGCGGGCTCCGGGTCGCCATGGCCGCCTCGACGCCGGGCAGAGCGCCACTCGCGCGGGGAGGAGCGGCGCAAAGCGGGCGGCGGCCGCGTCCCCGCCCCGCGCGCCAGCCGAGCGCCCGCAGCCCTGCGCCCGCGCCGGCCCCGCCGCCTCCAGACAGGCGAGCGGGAAGTGAAGGAAGGCGAGCCCCTCCCCGGGCCTGGGCCGGCCCCTCAGCGGGGGGAGCCCTAGCGCCGCGCAGCCCGAGCCGCGGGGACAGCAAGAGAGCCACAGCCCCCTCCAGCGTCCGCGCCCGCGACCTGCGCGTCGGCGCGCCCCGCCCCGCTCCGCCCCGCCCCGGGGGCAGGTGCACCGAGAGGCCGCCCGCCCGAGCGCCCCTACCCGGCCGGGCGAGCCCACCTCCGATCCGCGCTTTACTTGGTCCTACGGCTGCAGCCGGTCTCTCCGCTCGGCGCCGCAGGGCCGAGCGCAGGAAGCTCCGCGGAGTGCGCTGCGCCACCAGGGACGCGCCAGTCCAGCCTCTGTGGTTGAAAGCGAGCTAAGGCAGCGGGAGACGAGCGCACGGGCAACACCAGGAGCAGCTGGCGGAGGATCGGTGGCGCGGACTCTGCAGGCTGCTGTTGAGGTTGTGCAAGGGGGAGCCCCGCCCGGGTGCCCACCTACGACTTTACGTTGTCGCGCGGACAGCGGCGCTTCGCAGGGACCCACGAGCACCACCCCTTCCCCGGGGCCACAGGAGCTGGCTTCCGGCACCACCCTGGGCTACGAGGGACTTAATCCCGGAGGGGCAGTTGTCACCTCCCCTCCCCCCGCCGCGGCCCCGCGTCCTCCACCCACCGCGAATCCCCCGACAATCCCCACACCTACTCGCCCCCTCCGAGGACCGGAGCAATGCCCCGCGAGGAAAAGGAGTGAAATAGGTTAGCAGGTTTGCAGATTCCTGTTCAGAGCTCCCGGAACTCGGAGGAGGGAGCAAGGTTCAGGACCCAGCAGGCAGGCACCTAAGGGGGGAGAGTCCCTGTCGCCCCTCTCCAGCTGGGAGCTGCCGCTTTACCACCTCCATCCCCCTTTCCTCAGCCCCTGCTCTTGCCCTTTCTCCTCCTCGCTGTGGATGGGCCCGCTGCACGTGGAGGGAAAAGGACGCGCGGCAGGAGATTAGAAACGAAAGCGACCCTCTGCTAGATGCCGAGGCTACTGGGCACCCGCCCCTGACGGCCGCTGACCCCAGAACCCTGGTCGTTTTGCGCCTTAGAGAAGTTTTCGATCTCCAGCCTGGAGGCAGGTTTCTTGGGAGAGGCCACGACTGAACTCAAAGAGGAGCAGGACAGGGGCCCCCGTGGGACAGTGGGTCCACACGAGAACACGGTGCCTGAGAAGGACGGGGGCACCTGTGCGTAGCTAGTGTGAGTAGTTTCTGGAGCAAAGAGACATATTTTGAGTTTGAGGTGCTGAACTGTATTTTATTTTTTTTTAACGCCTGTATACTTGGAGAAGGTAGAAGTAAAAAGGGTCATCTGGGCCTCAAACCTGAAAAGAACAGCAGATGGGAAGTTTGTCATTGAAGAGAAGCAATAGTGGGCTGGAGGCGTGGCTCTGGACAAACCATAGATCAGAGGTTTCGGTGATTCTCTGAGTGTGCTTCTCGGACCTGTAGCGGTAGCAGCACCCGGAAACTTTAAGAAATATAAATTCTTGGGCCCCTCCCCAGACCTACCTTATCGGGTTCTCCCACCTCAGTGGGCATCAGAATTGCCTGGCCGGCTGATTCAAAGACCTACTGAATCAGAAACTCCAGGAAAGGAAGTCTGGAGTGGGCTTGAGAATGTGCCTTTCGAACAGGTTCCCAGGGGGCTCTGGACCCACACTTTGAGAACCACCAAATTAGAGTACTGGGTCTCAGAATCACAGAATCACATCAGACTTGAAAAAAACCCGCAACGCGCAGGCTTCACCCCAGCCAAATATATCAGGATTTCTGGGGTGGGAGCCCAGGCATCGGTATTGTTGAAGCTCTGGAGGTGATCCCAGTGCGCGGCCAGGTCTGCGGCAGGCCTGGGATTCTGGTAAATGCAGACCTGGTTTAGCGAGCTCGAGGCACGATATTTCTAACAAGCCCTCCAATGCTATTTTTTCTTTTTTCTTTTTTTTGCTAGTCCGGGCACTTCACCCAGTAGCAAGCAAGGTGCTATTCCATACCTTACAGCTAAAACCGAAAAGCTTGTAGAAATCACAAAAACTTAGAAAAGTGACATTTACCCAGTCACTCTCTTTGGAAGACGTTTTCCACATGCTACAGTGTTTATTTCATCTTTTTTTTTTTTCATCATCTTCTTTCCATGTCTGGAATAAAGTTTGTGTCATTTCGCTCTCAGCATGTGTATGATCATAATATTGAATACATAACATCTGATGCTGGTTGTTTTTTTTGATTTTGTTTTTGAGGGAAGGTGACTTTTAAAGGACACAGTCTGAGGCTTTACAGGCAGAGGGTAGTAGCCAGTGGGGAAGAAGGAAAAGAAAGAGGAGAGCAGGTTTGGGGGCTCCCGCTGGGAGAGCCAGTTCCCCCAGTTCCTTCCAGCTCTCACAAACAAACATTCTGGGTTTCGTACTTAATCTCATTGAAAGCACTTTTTAAATTCCTTTACCTAAAAAGCCAGGGCTACCTGGCCTGGAAAATCTGCCATCTGGAAAATCAACCCCTGAAAAACTGAAGTGTTTCCTTGTCATTTTGTGTCATTCATGCCTCGTTTTCAGATTTCTCATTATAAAAATGTATAATTACCTCGGTCCCCTTTATAACCCATGCCATCAGGTTACTTAGAAATCTTCCTGAATTAAGTAGTTGTCCTGTTCTTAACTTTCCCTTTTATTGATTTTATCTATTTTTTATTACAATAAATGTGTGTACATGATAAATGAAGAAATAATTAAACAGTGTAGAAGGGTATTAGGTAAAGCGTAAAGCACATAAGGGACCCTTCCCCACATCCCCAGTTTCACTTCTCAGAAATCATTTTCCCATCAGTTTTTAGTCTTTCAGAAACTTTCTAAGCTTAAACAAGTGCATGTGTGTAAATCTTTTATACTAAAGTGATGACGTGTCACAGTGAAATGAAACTTCTTATTCCACAGTTACCACCCCCTCCCCCCAAACACACCAACACCACTACGTTTCTGGGTCGGAGAAGTCTCTCTGTTTGGGGCAGTGCTGATCTCTGGACATGAGACTATGAGCTGTCAGTTAGATGAGGACCGCTACAAGCAAGAGGCTGCACAGTGATGCTCCAGCTGCCGGTCCCAGATCTTTCACCATCTCAGACCAGGAACCAGGAAGTGAGTAAAGAAGTGTTTTGGAGAGGGTTCTCCAGCCCTATCCCGTTCCTCAGCGATGCTGGCCACCCCCTGCCTTTTCAGTCCTGCCAGCTAAGGACACCATGAAGCAAAGAAGAGCCACCTCTGTTGTGCCCTTTCCAAATTCCTGATCCACAAAATCCATGATAAAATTATTTTATGCTGTTAAAGTTTGCATGGCTTTCTCTGAAGCGAAAGATAACCAGGATACCCACTAACCAACTGTGCTTGAGAACGCTTACTTCTTACACTTTTGTTTTTTAAATAAATAAATTTATTTATTTGGGCTGCGTTGGGTCTTCGTTGCTGTGCGCGGGCTTTTCTCTAGTTGCAGTGAGCAGGGGCTACTCTTCGTTGTAGTGCGTGGGCTTCTCGTTGCGGTGGCTTCTCTTGTTACGGAGCACGGGCTCTAGGCGCACAGGCTTCAGTAGTTGTGGCACGTAGGTTCAGTAGTTGTGGCTTGCGGGCTCAGTAGTTGTGGCTCGTGGGCTCTAGAGCGCAGGCTCAGTAGTTCCATGGCATGTGGGATCTTCCCGGACCAGGGCTTGAACCCACGTCCCCTGCATTGGCAGGCGGATTCTTAACCACTGCGCCACCAGGGAAGTCCTACTTACACTTTAAGCCCTCACTGGGTATTGGCAAACTTTTAAAATTTGTCAGTTTTATAGGTAAAATGGAAACTTACTTTAAAATTATCCATTGATATTTCTTTATCCATCAACTTTTATATCCTTTGCTTATTTTGCCCTTGGGGTGTTTGTCTTTTTTGTTGATTCTTAATATCTTTATATTGATAGTTAAGGAAATTAGCCCTGTGCTATCATATAGTGAATATTTTTTCTGGTTTGACTTTGTTCATGGTGCTTTTTTTGCAACAAGAGGTTCTTAACTTTTGTACTGTCAGATTTATCTGTTTGCTTTTCTGTTTTCACATTTTTGCATCATGCTTGAAAAGTTTTCCCCACTCAAGGCTTTTTAAAAATCACTATATTTTCACACTTTAACAGTTTTATTTTTATATTATAAAATCAATCTATACAGTATTTATTTGGGCATAAGAAATGAGACACAGATCCAACTTTTCTTTTTTCCAAGTGGATAAACAGACACCATTTAAATAATCCATCTCTTCTACACTTGTTTGAAATGCCGATTTTGTCATATAGTAGAGTCCATATTCTTTTCCACTGATCTGCCTGTTCTTGTCCCAGTAACAAAATGTTCATAATATATGTTACCCTCTGATAGAACTTATGCTCTATAATTTCAGAGTTTTCCTGGCTAGCCTTAGTATTTGTTTTTCCAGATGAACTTTAGCATCATTTTGTCAAGTTCTAAAAATAATCATACTGCACTTTGATTAGAATTGCTTTGAAATTTTAACCCTCAACTATAACTCCTTCTAAGGTTTCTTCTTTTCTATGTACAATAATAATAATAGCTAAAACATATAGTTGTTGGAACTTAGTGAATGTTAACTCATTTAACTGACACATCAACCCTGTAAAGTAGGATTATATTATTATGTCCATCTTACAGCTGAGGCTAATAACTTAGCTAAGTTCGCATAGCTAGTAAATGGCGGAGAAGGTGATTCAAACTCAGGCAGGCAGACTCCAGAGGCAATGCTGAGTGGTTTTGCTGTGTTTTGCCTCTATATTCATAAACCTAAGACAGCTGGAGAAAAGTATTAAACACATACTTCTTTTAGGATAGAAAATAGAATAGATAAAAAGTAAGGACTTTTGGTCATATTTTTTCCACTTCACTTTCAAAAGGAGACATTTAGGAGGAAACCAGAGGAAGGTCATGGATTGGAATCATTTTGAAT